TTTATATTAATGATATCAACTTTTCAAATGTTTTTAGGTTTGTTTTATTTAGTAAAAATGTGTGATAAGGGCATCATATTGCATTTTAAGACAGAAGTGTCCTAATATACCTTAACTTTGTATGGAATACGATAACATGGCAGATGTACAGAGCAAGCGAATAAAGAGAAGTAAGTCAGCCCAGCTGGAAACTAGTGCACATGCCCTCGGTTCTGCACAACTTTCAGTGGTTTGAGGTTAAAGGTCCCATGTCATGCTTTTCTGGTTATTATCCGTCCCCTTGTGTGTTATGAAGGTTTTTATGCATGTAAACGGTCTGCAGAGTCACAAACCCTCAAAGTACACCCTGTAGCGAGTAAAACTCTAACACAGTCTATGCTGCCCCAAAACGCCTCGTTGGAGATTTCTAATTTTCCATTGTTTACTTCCTGGGTACAGTGACGTTGGGAGGCCACACCCTCTGCCAGCATTTCACAAAACAAAGCTTCACAAACCTTTCAGTGATTCATGCCGGATATGTACAGCGTAGGGCACTGAAGAACGATGCTGTTCCTACTTTGTTTGGACCAGCGGGAGATTCGGGTACACAACCTGTAAGTATTCATTGTTGTTTGTGTATTTATGATGTTTAAAACAAACAAGGTATCTACCACGACTGTTTGAATGGGTAAACGTTTTTCGGGCTGCTAAGATGGGATCGCATTGACCGGTATTCACTCTCTGTCCTAAACGGCTTGTTGGAGCTCCTGCCCCCCCCTCCCTGTGAGCCCAGTGTGCTCTGATTGGTCGGGACGTTGCGAGGCTCGTTGCTGCGAGGAGCGGACAGGCTTCCGTGTCGGAGATACAGCGAGAACAAGCGAAACTCATCCTGAGCACACACAAACACTCACAGCCGAAGTAAAAACAATAAGTGTGGCTTGATATTGAGTAAGAAAAAGGTTTATAAATGAGATCTAGAATGGGTCTGCAGAGAGCATTTCTCCGCACATACTTTACAGAGATGCTGTATGAGAAACCAATGTGAGTTCGGAAAATTGCACGGTATAAATCTATTTTAGTATACCTCAACAATGGAATTATGATCGGTAGAAATGGCCATGACATGGGCCCTTTAACACAGGAAGTATTGTGGAGCCTGATACCTGACAGCACAAAGCAATGCTTGAAGTGCTCCATAAGAGAAGAAGTGTCCTGTTCGTGTTTGATGCAAGGGAAGAGGCTTGTAAACAAACTAAAGATTAAAACAAAGTTTGTGTGACCAACGTTTTTACCAGAAACCCCTCGAGATTTAAAGCTTCCAAACTTTTCAATGGTCACCTCTTGGCGCCTATCATCACTAGGTCTAAAAAGCTTGCGTGATAACTTTTAAATATGATCTGACACGCAACACAGCTTTCAAAGACTCCCTGGAAAAATGCTTTGTTACTTGATAAAATACCTCCGTGCATTTGCTAGAGGCCAGGCACGGACCTGTGTGCCGGTCACATCAGGATGCACAGTGATCCTGAGCCAAACAACATGGAACAAATTAGAAAATATAATCGTGTATTAGTGTTAATGCATTCAGGTGTAACCAGAAGAGAACCGAATGCTTTAGATGTGGTAATCATTATCCAAGATGCCCCTCTCACTAATCGTTGACACGTTTGGCTGTGACATGATTATACGGTGGCCCACAGGTGCAAACGTGTTTTAACAGCCCAAAACATTTCCATTGGGAGAAATGTGCTGCAGCTTCAAAAACTATGCATATAAAAAACACAAATGTGCCAAAACACCAACTTGACGATACATACGCAGCGTTTACTAAAAGCGTTTACGATAAAAACCGCAAATACTAAACGCTGAAAATAAAAGAAAGCTGAAGCTCAAAACACAATGAAAACAGGGACACTAAGAACTGAAGTGATGCACACAGCTGACCACTGGGATTATACATTTGGCACAGTTAGCCTGTTTTATAAAAGTGTTTTGTCAGTATATTTGAAATGACTAGGATAGCTATGTTAGCTAGCTATCTTACAACATCTGCAACAATATCTGGAAGACATAATGCGATCAAATTGTTAAAATACCAACAGTGACAGTTGGTCAATTTTATATTCCCCATGTCCCGGTCCCAGCTGTGCACATACATTTTTAGTGTCCCTGTTTCCATTGTGTTTTGAGCTTCTATTTCCAACGTTTCATATACTGTATGCATGTTTCGTGAAGTTGGTGAATGTTTCCTGAATGCTGAGCCTTGTCATGTTGGTGACGATGCTGCATTATTTGCATGTGTTTTGGCACATTCATTTTTGATATATTTGCATCGTTTTTTTTAAATGGAGCGTGTTTCTCCTGATGGAAGTGTGTTAGGCCTTTGTAGAGCGCTTGCCCCTGCTGGCCACCGTATGATCAGGTTAATTCTAAGAAGTATCAGGGGAAGTATTTCAAAATTGTCGTGTAATCTATAGAAACTTTGAAAAAAAACAAGCTGGAGTGAGAGTAACAAAGTAAGAAAATAAAGAAGAGGCGTTTGATTATTTACTCAACATGTGTCTTGTTCAACATTCTTTAATTATTCAAATATTACTGATATCCCAAATGAATACTCAACATTATGGACAAAGTTAACAACAGTATAATTATTAAGCCAGCATATTCATATATTTCCTTAAACCATTAACATCTAAATATGTAGAGACTCTCAAGGATCTATTAAGTGCATTACATCCTGAAGTAGACCATTCAAAAGACTAAAGTCTGCTTTCCTGAGAAAATTATACATTTCTGTCGAGGCCGGAGCTGGATAAACCTTCAGCCTCAGTGTCTCGGTGACTCTGCTGCCTGGCATTGTTCCACAGCAGTAAATGTCTGCCAAAAACTTTCCTCTGTCCTGAGAAAAACGGGGCGTTTGAGCTGGAGGTGCAGTAGGTTTTGTTATACACTCCACCTGGTAAAGGCTACAGCCTCTATCTGGAATAGATATTTCCCCCTCCTTGTATGTTTGAGCTAATTGGCTTCTGCAACAGTGTGCCCTCACCCTGACCCTTAATGAAGATCCCGCTCTCTCTCGGTTCAGCACGCCTGGATTTATGCCACTTTCATCTGCACCACCATGCCTGGCAAAAAGGTAATTGCAACTGACTTTTGACCTGCTAGTGTCAGTTTGTTGGCCACGGTGCAATTACCTTTAGACCAGTCGAAGCTGGAGGTGGTGCAATGTTTACTTGGTACCTTGTTACTCTGCTGGTGTTGTTTTTGTAAAAATAACTAACCTTTATAAGACACCCGCTCTTATAGGGCAGATTTATTTAGTAACAATCTGAGAAAGAGTAGGGGTACATGCTGTGCACTTGATGAGGTGGGTATACAGTACAGCAAAGCATTGCGTCTGAGATCAAGGCAGCTCCGTAAGGAACAAAGAGCATGTGGAATGTGTGCTGAATGTCCTAGTTTGATAGAGACAGTATAGCAGTTGTATAGAAGATGTGTTGCACATTGCTGAGCTAATCAATTTGAATCCCTCTTGCACTGCTATAAGGTCATTTGTTCCTAACCACAGCGCTGCAGGCTAAAAAAGACCTCTGAACTTTTCCCCTGAGGCAGAGAAAAAAATATTAAGATATTTTAGTCTGAATGATCTTTGCTTCTGTCTTCACCTTTTGACATGCCCACAACAGTGCTCACATATTTCATCAGTACCTTTGGTTGTCAACTTATTCCACTCTACTTTCTTATTCTTGTAACCGGGAAGCTAACATTGTGACCATATATAAAGATGGATGTGCAACTTCTCAAAATATTGAGATCATTTTGAACCAGAATTCATGCATTAGGGATCTGGGGGCTGATAATGCAATATCTAGGTCCCAAACATATCAGCCTGCACTTATCATGAGCGAGGCAAGGCACAGCCTGTTAGCATGAGCCAGCTAGCTGCTACTTTAGAACCACGATAGCTTTTTGAAAATAGAGTAACCACTAACCATAATATCTCTATAATTATATTTAGCTGCAGTTTGTGGTATAAACTGAATGCTATCATTCTCACAAATATGCTAATAAATACAAAGTATAGCAAAGGCTGATTTTTTCAGGTGGTCATAAACTGCGTTTGTGCGCAAAATTAAATGTTTATGTCCCAAAATCAATTCCCAATTCACACTAAATAGCAGCCCAGGAGAAAACCATGAATTATAGGTGGTGCTACACTCCATCCTCTGTTTGAAAAGCAGCAAAAGTTCTTATTGGAATGGGAAACATGAGGGCAACAACATAAAACAACGCAACAAAGAGACATAATGTTTAGAGGGTGTCGAGAATTTCAAGGCACTTTGCAAGTACACACTGTTTCAATAACCTCCTGTGCTCATGCCTTTCCTTTCCCAAACTCTGATACAGACTCAGACTGAGACTATAATAGCACCTCTGGGAGGTTTTGGAGAAAGGCTCAACAATTTCTGCCCCTAAAGTGTTTAGAAATCTTTCTTGTAGGTGGATGAGGTTAACAAATGATGTGCTGTTTAAGTAAACCGGATTTCTTAACGCGGTTATAAAACAGCTAATGTGGATAATCAACGTAAGAAGCATCTTATCTGTGAGGGTGCAGACATTATTCGATATCCTCTCAGGTCACACGTACTATGGGGCCGTGCAGTGAACTACCCTGACCTTGTGTGGGAGCTCGGCACATGACAGAGGGGTGGAGAAAAAAAGAGTTGTAGGGGCACGGCACAAAGCCTACCACAGCCAATAAGAACTTCACTGACCTCAACATTTAGCCCCAATGTGTCCACACAGTTCATCTGTGTGGTCTGGACACTGAATAAACTCAACTTTTCAGCTTCACTTTAGTCACTTTAGATGAAAAGTGAAGCTGAGATGCCACTGGCTACTTTTGGACTGTCACAGTGGATTTAGACCCACAGATAACATCTGGAGTATCTCAGAAACACATAGAGTGTTTTTTTATATTTCGTAAATATTCAAAGACATTCAGTCCCATTCAATGATGTCTGCAGTTTGTTAACGTGCCGTGGAGACGGGTGTTTATCTTCAGAGCTCATCTGGCCTGTTCGAGAGCTCCTGCCAAGGTAAGACACTTGACACACACACACTATGCACGATTACCATTTAACAGTTATCTCTTTATAAGTAATTACTTGCATAAGTAGGCTATTTTCAGCTCGATACTCATAAAAGATGTATTGCTTTGTCAATGTTATAACAATACATTTTGTGTGAGGGTGAGATTTCCCTCTGCAAATATTTAACAAGCTATTCTCATCCATAATTAATCAGCCAAATTGACTTGATCTAATAAGTAGTACTATGAGAAGACCTGGGGTCATAAAAGGCTCAGAGCATTGCTGCAGGGAGAATGAATCAAACATATTTAGCTGGAAGCACAACATTTTTGCCAAAGATGTAAAATGTTATGTTCATTCAACAACGTTTAAATTACTTTTGCTATAATACTTTACAACATTAACATCTATTTAATTCAGTGTAGTGTTCTATTGATCCAAACCAAAAACAACTCTGAATTCAACAAAGTAAGAGGTAAGAGGTTATTTTTAGACCCTAGAATGCACCACATGGAACATATTTGTATTTGTATGCATGTTTATAACATGTTTAATGTTATTCAAGTCCAACAATACACACTGAAATCTAACCAAGTGACCAATGTTAGTTGAATTATTTCAAGAGAAGAAAGTATCCTTTTAACAATGACACCTTTTCATTCTGCGTCACTATTGTCCTCAGACACACTCACCATGCTCTGTGAGGGTATGTCTGTATTGTCAAGTGGCACTTGGGCTGCTTTTTTTTTTAGACCTTTACAATGTGATTTGGCTTAGCATCAATGACTCTGCCCATTCATTGCATTACATTACATATTACTTGTTAGACGCTTTTATCCAAAGCGACTTTCAATACTGTGGGCAATCCCCACAGGACCAATTTGGGAGAAGTGTCTTGCCCAGAGACACAACGACATGCTGACTACAGTGGGACTCGAACTTGCTGTCCTCTGATTCAAAGTTCAGCGTATTAAGTTCAGCGCACTATCTCACTGAGCCACAGCCTTCATTCGTCCCACTTGTTTCATTTTCCACTACCAGGTATAAATGAATAGACTCTGCAGTTTTCACTGAATTATTTGATGCTATTCTCTCCAAATTAGAGCGTAGCAATCGATCAATCAGTATGAAATCATCCAGTTTATTTATTATTCCTGCGATTACGCCGCTTTATCTGGTGTCCTGTCTGTATTAGCTACTTCCTGGATTCATTATCTAAAGCCATACAATGAATGTTTCATTCTTCTAAAACACAATGCTGTCTCTGCTGTCAGTTCAGAGCACTTCCCCAGCATACTGTCCTATTTCAGAGGCCGCCGGTGAATTTGTGGTGACTTTTCTCAGACAGTGATAATCTTTCAACCAACCGTTCTTGTAAACGTGTTAACATTAACAGTGATGAATACATGTTTCTGCTCATCTCTAATACCAGGTATTAGCTGTTAGATTGTTACATGTGTTAAGATTAAAACAATAGAAAAACATGGTAATTATTTGATGTGTTTCCCCCACCATTAGCCTTCATGCGAAGCTAGGCTACACAGGTCCATACTTAACACGTTTTGATTTAGATCAAGCTTCTCTTCATGCACTTGAAACATTTTTATGAAAACACCATCAATCCAACAAAGATTTGACTATTTCTTTAACGCTGTCATTAGTAGATATAAACTGTTGCTGAACACTGACCTGAAAGCTTCCAAGATATTGAAGTTTGCTTGTTGATTTATGTTGACAAATCACCAATGTGTATATTATTACATTATTAAACAATAAGTAGGGGACACATGCCAGATTACACTTCCACCTCCTCTTGATGATGATGGCTATGTAAACAGCAACATATCCATGAACTCGAGGAGCTGTTACGTGATTGCAGCTTTAACACTTTTTGCACTTTCTTTCTATATATTCTATATTGCAAATTAGATTCATTACACCTCAGTGCTTATTATCTTATTATTTAAAGTCACCCTTAAGGTCTATTTGAATAAATGAAAGACATAAGTTCTCAAATCTCGCCTTCATTGACTATTGAATATGTAGAATAATGCAGGAGGAACATTTACAGCTCCAGAGCTGCAGCTAAAATCCCAGCTCAATAATAAAAGTTCTTTAACTCATTAAATATTCACCACTCGCTGCACTCAACTGGCTTCTCCAATACGTTTTCAGAGCACTACAACAATTCATCAACCAAATCAAGTCCTCCTTTGCCGAAAAACACTATATCATCACCCACTCCTGAGCGTAGCCCTGAGCTATTGAACAGTGTGAATTCAACCAGTGTTCATGGTCTGATCAATGTTTTCTCTCTGTAGTCTCCCCAGTGTAAACAATGCAGTAAGTTGTTTGACTCTGCAGATGGACTCTTATTCATCATCTCTAAAGTGAGACTGTGGGAGATCAGCAGGTGGGCGCTCAGTGAATACATGCAGAGAACAATTCGAAGCCAAAAGAAGGCCAAAAACGGCATCCCTCTTTTATCAAGTTGGGGAAATATTTTAAGACATATTTTATCTCTTTCCAAATACGCACAAATTATCAGGTACTCAGAGGTTTTTGTACTATATTTGGCAGTATACAGTATGAAGGTGAAACAAGCAGAAATGAATCACATCTGATACTTTTCTACCATCATGGAGAGCTGCATGTTGCTCCTGATATAATCCCAGCCAGACTGTAGCAACAGTATTACCAAACCTTGCTAATGAAAATACCAAAGTGCATTCAAAGTGCATTTCTAATGTTACCAAATAGGCCAAAGATAAACCAACTGGTTAAAACAATTTTTAACAATAAATAAAATCTTTTAAAAATATAACACGTTCCATGTTACAAAAAAATTCCGAGCTGTTAATGATAAATGTTTCAAAGCAGAGGACAAATCATCAGGTTTAAAAGGACAGTTCATCCCAGAATAAATAATTTTCAGCCTACCTGTACGGTGTAATCTAGAAACTATCTCAGTCCATAAAGATGTCTGCCTTCTCTCGAATATAGTGGAAATAGATGGCACTCAGTTTGAGGCGCAAATAAGCCCCAAAAATTAAATTTGAGAAACTTAACAACAATGTCTCCAAAAATCTTGACCTAGTTACTCAAAATAATTCAAAGTTTTGTTGTGGGCAGTTTCATGTAGGAAAAAAAACTTGCCAACAGTGCTAACCGTATCACCGCGCAGAAGAAAGCATAAACTCTTCAATAAGAAGCTCTCCTGCTAACTCTACAGCTCATCTGAGGAAGATCCTTTTAATATTTACATTCCAATGTCATGAGCACGAGACTCTCGTTCATGAGCGAGAGGCAAAGTCCTATCTCTTTTCCATAATATTTGAGTGGGCTGATACTCGGCTGATACAAAGTACATATTTGGAGTCCCTTTAAGCAACATTGGTTTTCATTCTCTCCTGAACAGGTCCTTGTATCAGTAAAACGTGATATATTGAAGAGGACTTTTGAGAGTGCAAATGGCGCCCGCTGTTGGTGGTCCTGAAGGCTACACACCCCCTGAGGGTGGCTGGGGATGGATGGTGGTGGTTGGGGCCTTCATCTCTATTGGCTTCTCCTATGCATTCCCCAAGTCCATCACTGTCTTCTTTAAAGAGATCGAGGTGATCTTCGACGTGACCAGCAGCCAGGTGTCCTGGATATCTTCCATCATGTTGGCCGTCATGTACGGCGGAGGTGAGCTACAACCCAAAAATACGACCTGCCAAAAATGAGTTTAACACTTGACATTTAGCACAACAAGAAGATTTATACATGAAATCAATCTCTGGCTCTTAGCACAACGGTAAAAGATTTATTCCTGGAGTGTTAAAAGCCGATTCATTGCTCCAGAACAGACTTGCATTGTAGCCTTTCAGCGTGTCTGTCCACAAAGAGGCCACAAAGAGTCTCAGAATTATAGTGCGGCTTAAATCGAACATTTCATACTAAGATAAAACAAAACTGTAAATCCTCTATTGAAGTGTTGTTTATAAAAGTGCAACATTATCTGTCCCTTGAGCACGTTAATGGGCCGTGTATACCGGCCTATTGTTGTCCCATTGTGCTGTGAGAGCGGGGGACCAGGGGGGGTAGCGTGTGTTCCTGCGCTGATGAGATGAATGAGGCGCTGGGTGATGTCACAGAGGTCAGGTGATGATAAGGCTCTTTTCATGTTCGTGATATTCAACGCGGACGGAGCGGAGTTCAAAGGAGCTCTCCTCGCCCCTCAAGACCGTCTGCTCTGAAATCAAAACACTGCAGTTCTCTTTTCTCTTGCATCTGATAAACTGGGGAAATGATGACTACGGCATCTTTTTCTATTCTCTAGGAACTTTGAGAAAGTTGCTGTAGTGTGCCTAACTAATCTGAAGTGGAAGATATTACACCATAATATTCTATTCTGGCCTCAGTGTAAAATGTATTTGCAAGATCTAAAATAAATATAATAAAATTAGACATGGTGTTTTATTGCTAGCCTAGTATTTCCTCCCATGCAAAGTGTTGAACATATTACATTTAAACTTATCTTAACATCATATATTTGCGGCACAACCTCTGTTAAACCAATGGGCCAGATGAAGAAAGCAATATAAAGAGTTTGTATAGTTTGTATCCACGATTTGTTCTCAATTGTATTTATTTGATTCATGTTATTTATTTTGTATTTCTTTCTTATTTTCTAAGGTAAGAGAAACGTTTACAAGCAGCCGAGAAAACTCTTTACAAAATAAGAAAGACAGTTTTAGTTTATTCAACATAAACTTGATTTCAATACTGGAGAAGACTTTCTTAGAGCATTTTTTTTGGTGGCATCTCTTCGAGTCTTGTGCATGTGCCAGAGTAGTTGCACATGACCTGCCCTTATATAGTGCATACTGGGTGTTTCCGATGCTAATTATATCAAATCGGCCACACGTCTCCAATCTATTATCAAGTGAGATTACAGTAAATGTTTAGAAGGTTTGGTGCGTCGGACTTCTCTTATATTTTTCTCTTTGGAGAACATTAAGAGAACTTGGAAGAGAAAACCATTGGCTGCTTCTAACTTCCAACTGTAACAGCATTACATGTTAAATACGTGCAAAACCTCACGCCCAAGTTAAACCCTCAATACAGTACAGCAGAAGTATGTTTAAGGAATCAAAGCTGCTTATTGTTCAGCAACATATTCCCCGAAGTGGTTAAGGGTCACAGGGTAAAAATCTGATCATTCTTAATTTTCTTTCACTTTACAATGGGTTCACTGTCACTGTAGAGTGTAGACTCAATATGAATATCCATGTGTAACAATGTTAATTAATGCAAATGTTGAGAAGTAAATAAACTCAGATGAAAGCAAGCTATGCATGGTAATTGAAAGTAAGCGAGGAAATGTTTGTCATCACCGCTAGTAGATGACAGCTGAGTCTGTTGTTGTGTTACACATTCTGAGCACATCGGCAGGAGAAGTTCATGAACAACCTACTGTTGCGTACCTCTGTACTCCTTCAATTTTTCATTCATTACATTCATAATATTCTACATTGGTTTGTCTCCAACCTTTTATCCTAAGCAACTCTCGCTGCACGGCGGACGGAAAGAACTCATTGTTAGTGTGGAGACCGCCTGCATTACAATTTAAAAACCCTTTGTCTTGCACCGGGCTGGCAAATGATTCTGGACAACCTCTAAACAAAAACTGTCACTTTCCATTTGGGCTCATTGGATAGTGCAGGGATTTGGCAGGAAGGGAGAAGTGTCTTCCATGTGGGTCCTCATACTCATTTAGGCTGGTGGTTATAAGCCGTAGATGGAGATGGAAACCTGAACCCTGCATGTAATTTAGTCATTTGTTTACAAGTCACACCAATTGTGCATGAATTGATGTAGAATTCAAGGTGAATGCATATAAATATTACCTGATTATGTCACTTTTTCTTTGGAACTAAGGTACCAATACTGTATGTCAGAAAAGTGTACGTAAGAAAGTACCAGTTTATATTTTAACCCCAAACACACAAGTCCCCTTACCCGCCCCCACTCCTCTCATTTAAAAACAACAGACATCCACTTATACTTAGATTATCTGATAATCATTTAAATGTATTTAGAGCCCATTTCTGAAGAATCCACTAACAAATGATCCGTCCCTCTGTCTATGAATATCTGAACCAAATAGATGCTTAATGCACTACAGCCTTCATGGTTTTTCTGACACATCACATTATTAATGGCATGAGAACACATCTACTGCAGTGCAGCACTGACAAAAATGATTGCAGAAGTTGTTTGATTTTGCTGAGCTATACAGCCGTGACACTGGAGCCCTCTTGTGGTTAAATAAAACAAAAATAAACACCAGTGCTTTGATGATTGGAGAGAAATCTCCATCATTCTGCTTCTAATACGTGCATATTGTTATTTTTCTCCTCAGGTCCCATCAGCAGCATCCTTGTGAATAAATATGGGAGTCGTATTGTCATGATGTCGGGAGGACTCCTGTCCGGATTGGGCCTCATTGCTGCGTCTTTCTGCAATTCTGTTCAAGAACTGTACTTTTTTATTGGTGTGGTGGGAGGTACCTATATCAACTTTCTATATTCTGAAGTTTAACAATGAGTCACCCTTTCTTTTCTCTGTCATACAGCACACTGTTGCCCCCTAGTGGTAAATAATAAAAACAACCAGGGAACTTATTGCCTAGACATTTTAAAGCGCCAACATTTATTCCCAGCCTTTTATTCTTCCATACCAGCAACTACAGAACTAGATCTACTAATGGGATTCTTTCAAATGCCCTACGGTGCGCTCTGAGGTTTCTAAAACTGCTTCTCTTTCTGTGAAACTTGGGCATGGAATGAGATGCAATATATCATCGCCAGAAGTAGTCCTTTATTTTGATACCTTAAAGGTCTCTAACAAACTGCCTTTAAGGAAATATGTTGCTGTTTTAAAAAAACGCTTGACTTCTGGAATAATGCTTGTATGGACTGTGATGGTCTCTCTTTTTTTCAATATTTCTCTTGTGTTGCTTTTATATATTGTATGTGTTCTAACTTGTGACCATCAGTTTATATCAAACGCTGCAATCCTGACCAGGAGTATCCCTAGAAGAAGAAATAATGTATCTCAATGCGCTGAACATGGTTAAATCGAGGACAAAAATGCTTAGTTTTCTTTAAGTGAATCTCTAAACACTGTTGAATGCTCAAATCCTTCTTTTTCAACTCATATTCATAGAGATCTAATACATTAACGTATTTCTTTCTATTGATTATTTTAGGTTTGGGATTGTCCTTCAACCTCAACCCCTCCCTCACAATGATTGGAAAGTACTTCTACAAGAAGCGACCTATTGCTAATGGAATAGCCATGGCAGGCAGCCCTGTCGTTCTCTGCACCATGGCTCCTATAAACACCTGGCTTTTTGAGAAGTTTGGCTGGAGAGGAAGTTTTTTGATCCTGGGTGGAGTGCTCTTTAATTGCTGTGTCGCTGGTTCCCTCATGCGGCCAATTGGACCAAAACCAAAACCTTCAGAGAAGACCACAGAGAAGAGGACTGTAGTCCAGACCATTAACAGCTTCATCGACCTCTCATTGTTCAAGCACCGCGGCTTCATGCTCTATATTGGAGGAAATGTCATCATGTTTTTCGGTCTCTTTACACCACTTGTGTACCTCAGTAATTATGCAAAGAGTAAAGACATCCCTAAAGACAAGGCAGCTTTCTTACTGTCTGTGCTGGCTATTGTGGACATGGTGGCCCGGCCATCAATGGGGGCCTTGGCTAACACTAAGTGGGTTCGACCCAGAATACAGTACTTCTTTGCTGTATCTGTTCTATTTAACGGCGTTTGCCACATTTTATCACCATTATCAGTTGACTTCACAGGCTTTGTGATTTATTCCATCTTCTTTGGGTTTGCTTTTGGCTGGCTGAGTGCAATTCTGTTTGAGACGTTGATGGACCTGGTGGGAACTAAGCGCTTCTCCAGTGCTGTTGGGCTGGTCACTATTGTGGAGTGTGGTCCTGTGTTGTTGGGACCCCCTTTGCTCGGTGAGTAAATCAACTTTTATTCGAACTTCCAAGTGCATCAGCACTATTTTTTATTTGTTCCGTTTCTCTACTTGTGATTTTATTTGAGTTTATAAACATTAAGTACAGTATAAAAAAAGTTTGAAACAAAAAACAGCATGAAACAATGCAAAGCATTTCCGAACCTTAATAATATCCATATCCATTACCCAAAAAACAATAAAGAAAATGTGAGTTGTATAAAAAAATACATATGGGGTGTAGTACAATCCTCTTTTGTGTTGGTGAAATGTTGAGCAGGTCAGTTTCTGTAAAGTCATTAGAGAGAATCTTAGTTTCTCAAGTTCAATATTAATATCCAAATAACTTGACAAGCAGCAATGCACTCCCTAGGCCTAGGATCATTAAAAACACACACAACAAGCGTGAATTAGATCGGTCCAAGGGTTGGCTAGATAGTCAAAAGCTGAGATATCCAAAGACATACGAGCCGTTTCTCAATCGCGAGGATGCTGGCTTGGTAGTCGCATACTTCCAAGTCACTTCCTTCAGAAACGAAGCAAGTATACTTCCAAGCCACGGCTTCGGAAAACAAAGAAGAATGGAACAGGCTAACAAGTGTGCCACTCTCTCTAACGGTTTCAACATAAACTGTACCGAAAATAAATACCTCACGATGTCTATCTAATTATGAACTTGCTTTACTTTCACGGAACACATTTTTGGTGATAACAAATGCAACAAAGTAACATATTTACCAACACATGTTCTACGCGGTTCTACGCCTCTACATACTTACATTTAAATGTGTGCTGCGTCGGTTCAGCCATTCTCCACAAGGGTTTTTGAAATTGGTCCGTGGGCAAAGCATTGTGGGGATTTGAAGGACGCGAAGTCTATCCATGTGCAGCTTCGAAATTACCCCCAAACCAAGGACGTGGCCTCGGTGGAATTCCAAGTATGCTGGAGATTGGAACAGTCCTTCGGCGGCACTCGATGACGTAGTATCCTTGATATATTTTCATGGAAGCCAGTTTCCTCGCGATTGAGAAACGGCCACTGTATTACCACAGAGATGTTGGCATTATAGTATGATAATGATGTAGAACTTGCCTAATCTATCAATAATGTCAGGGAAAGAAGCGTGCTCCCTTTGAAGTAGAGTAAAAATGTGGACTGGTAAAGTTGTGAAGGCCAGGACTTGTTGACTTGTTGACAACAGAAAGGCGCCAATGATGATATATAAAGACTTATGGGCAATGACCACATTATAAGTTACCGGTTTATTTGTTCAGATATTTACAACCTGAAGGTAATTCATAGGGAAAAATACCAAAGAATGTACCTGTTACCTGGCACTGTTACCAATTTCAATGTATTTCTGTGTTGTTAACTGCATCCTAATGTTGACAGTGACTAACAACTATGCAATGCCCTACTTATTCTCTTCACAGGGAAGTTTAAAGACATCTATCATGATTACAAGTACACATACCAGGGCTGCGGGATCCTCCTCATCGTCTCCAGTGTTATTCTGTTTGCAGGGATGGGACTCAACTATCGACTGCTGGACAAAGAGAACAAAGAGGAAGAGAGACTGGCCAGGGTGGAAAGTGAAGAACAAAAGTCCATCATGGAAAATAGTGCCAAGGGTGTGTCAGATGCTAGTAACAAGGAAGACACTGTCTAGTATTGTATAGTATGTTATGTTACATTTAAGTTCAGTTTTAACAGTGCCTGTGAGGCAAGTTAAGCTATTTACACACCTATTAAAGGCCTTTTAACTCAAATAAACAATACACATAAAAGGCCTCTTATATTCATATAGGGACTGTTACATGAATTTGGTAGACAATTCAAGTGTGCGCTTATAGGAAATATCTGTGTAAAATCTGAGATGGTATCACTGACTTTTCTGTTACTGTTATTGCAGTTCACCATTTTGGGTACTTTAACCTTCTTAAATGTGCCATCAGATTATTAAAGTTATTTTTCAAGAGGGAACATTTGAAGGGTTGTGCTCAATATCGGACAATACAAAAAAAAGATTGCAAACATTCTCTGTCAAAGTGCATCATTATAGTCTTACATCACTATTTTTGACAACATCTCTCAAACACATTGTAACTAGGCCTTTTTGCTGTCTACAATTATATTGTGGCTCTCCGCAGTTTTTGAATGTTTGAAAACATCTACTTGTATGGTAAACTATAACTTTACATATATACTACAAAAACATATTCATAGCTACTCTCTATTTCTCCTTTTATGTTTTGCTTGGTTCATTTTTGATGATGGATGATGGGAAATATCTATTATACTGAGGGCATTAAACCTTTGAAACTGTGTGTTTGCATATGAAAGAAAACAAACTACAAGTTCCTATATTGAACAAATCCAATAAACTTTTATTCTTTGATTAGGATAAAAATGCTTCTTTGTATTCAATGTTTTTCATAAATTGGAGTCGAGATAAGACTGAGTATTCATAGATGCACTCAATCTACTTTTCTTAGAAACGACACCAAATCTAATTAACCTTTATTAAGCAGCCTTGGGGGCAAAGTGTAATAGATGTACTGTAGGCCTATAGTCAATTGTTACAAATGTTTCCACATTCTATTTTATTCATGTTCTTGCCATTTAATAACAACCACATTAAAACAAAAATAAAACTATAAAAAAGTGGCCTATATAAGCTTAATAGAATATTGCCAGACAATAGACAATATTAACCTCTGACATTTTCGCTGGTTGAACAATGTAAGTGAATTTAGGGGCAACTAGTTATTTGCGCGTCAAATTGGCCATACCTATTCTTCGATGTTGTATTTTTCCTACACAAAATGTGAGTTTTTTCACAGTGACAGTAATATAATAAACTGTCAGTCTATTATATTACATTAAACATTAAAACAGAGATGTTTTTGTATGTATGATATTGTAATAAGTATAAACCGTATAAACCCAGACCAAAACAAGCGCCTCCTCTGAGTGTGTCAGTTCAGGAATATTATGTTCCTTGTTGTCCGATAATGGAAGTAATGCTCCTCGTGACGGTTGCACAAAGTTTGAAATAAACTGTTGAGGTCACGCTACAGGATTATTGCACGCGCTCGAATACGGTGGTCAGATAAAAACCGTTAACCGAAGTTTTGACGTTAAATACTTCATACTCATTACAACCAGGGACCGGAGGACAGGTAGGTAACTGCCCGTTTGCCAAATAACTGCTTGTTGAGTCAATTGTTTTCCTGTTAGTTATTGTATTATTGTTTTGTTATTAATGTTCCTGAAGGTAAATTAGGTTAGAGACTTAGTTAGACACAAGAGCTAGCGCAAAGTGCCGTTAAGTTCATAGCTTAACTGAAGTAACAAGCTAACTAGCTTACTTAACTTAGCCAACGGTTTAAACTAACGGCTGGGTGAAATAAATAACGTTTATGTGAAGTTGTATAGTATTATCTTTCTCAAACGTTATCTCCCCTGTTGATAAATAATGAATTTCCTTTAAATGTGTAAGCTTAATTAACTGTACTTTACGTTTAAATATGGACCTACGTGGTGTTATTTCAGGATGGACAGAAACCGGGGATTTAGCTTCAAACTATTGGTGCCTTCCAGGGTGAATAACGGTCAGGTGTCTGCTGTTCGACCGCAGGAAGTCGAGGAGACCTGTGGGGACTTCATGGTGCAGCAGGTAATTGTTCATTCAACTAGCAAAATGTTAACTCATTCAAGGCTTAACACACATGCCAGCTCAGCACTGACACGGCCTGTCAGCACAACAATAAGACAACTTTTTTCAACCAGCAATGAAAGTCTTCAACATACACACTATCTCTACTCTTGAATCTACAGAGCCCCCTAGGGCAGGGGTTCGCAAACCCCGAGTGGGGGTCGCGAGATGATTACAAAATAAAAATAGAAAAAAAATAATAATATAGGCCTATATATACAGGGGTGCACATAAGTGGTACGCAGGTACGCATGCGCGGCAACAATCTGAAATGCGTACCGTCACTTGTGTCTCAAAGCGCATTTGCGTACCGACGTACTTGTGAAGCTTTTCCAGAAGGCGGTTAGATCACCGGACGACAGAGTTGGTGTCCGTGTGCACAGACAGGGCTGCTGTTAACGTCGGTCTGTACAGCAGCACTGCGCTAAAACAGCTGATCAATGTTCACACGCTCTGTGGTCACAAAGCTCTGCACTCCACTACCACCACAACCCNTGATTTATTTATCAAAGTCTGGTTTTTTAACTCTTAATTTTGCTTTTCTTTACGTTCAAATTGAAAATATGTGACCTGCTCTATCGAAATCCGTCGCATTGACCCGAAGACACATTTTGAGTTGTATACACTGCTGGAAAGAGGATATTCCTAGCTTTCTAATGATATCAGGATTGTTTTTGTACTCCAAATATTAAGCGAAATATGTCACATTATATAATGACTGTCACCGAGTCATCATTTTGAGAAAAAGGCCTTCAAAGTTTTCTTTTCTCTGGAATCCATCGATCTGATGATTATTAGCGGAGCAAATGATCAAAATACTATACGGAGGGAAGATATTTCGTTTGGATTACTGGTCCGGGGGAAGCTCGCGAGTGTGTGTGTGTATACGTGTGTGTGTCTTTTTGCATTTTGTGTGTATTGCGTTTGTTTCCCGGGGAAAACCCTCATGAGAAACACCGGCTGTTGTTATGCGTGCTGTGACGTTACATTACTCCGTTCTCCGCTTGTAATTATGCCGTTACAAGCTTCAAAGTTGTATTTATCATCTGAATTTGCCAAAACAAGTTTAATATTCTGAAAGCCAAGACTTTGTTTAATTGAAATCAGATGAAAACAAACTGTAACGGACCCTGCCGTGTTATTTATGATTACTCTACGCTTACATTCATAATGTCAGCCGGAGGGAGGGGGGGCGGCGCTGCGGAAGAGCAGATTGCCTGTCATCTTCCCTTTACAAGCTTAAAGAATACATTTATCGTGTGAGTTTGGAAATAAAAGTTTCATATTCTGAAAGCCAAGACTTTGTTTGTTTAAAATCAAACAAAACACCCGAACCCCTTTACAATGACTGAACCAGGATAATACAAAGCTCACCGCCAAAAGATCGACATCAAGTGTTCCCGGA